AGCAAATGGACTACTCAAGTTACGCACATATGGATTTTAATACAGCCTGTTCCACGATGCCTCAGTGCGTATGGAGTTTGACTGATGAGTGGATCAACTTTTGTTGGTTTCCGAAACAGGCTGTATTAAAATCCATATGTGCGTAACTTGAGTAGTCCATTTGCTTATATATATATATATATATATGTATATATGTATATATATATGCACATGCTCACTAGTTTATTCTAGTTTGAGCACTCTGGCATGGCTTAGACGATACCACAAATGTTGGGTCGTTTGGGGTGACCCCCTCGGTTCTCCTCCATCCTAGCATCAGCATAGCACTGATGAGACCCAGAAGGCCGAAACAGTTCTGTCTGCGGTTAGTTATATATATATATATATATATGTATATATAATTGAGAACGGGATGGTCAACTGAAGATTTGGCTTGGCATTTATTACTATTTAGTTTCGTACCACACAGCCTGTGTGGCACTCGTCGGATAAAATTGCCAAATGCATTTGGCAATTTTATCCGATTATAATCCAATTATAATCCAAGAGTTGATTATTCGGTCATTTAATCGCTACTCTGAGTTTCATGCTTCATGCGTAACAATCATCAGGCGGCTGTCAGAAATGACGGTTACAATCAGAGATATTTGAAAATATGCGATAATTGTCAAATTCGTTGCGTTTAGTGCGCGCGCGATCCTCGTCATTAAAAATGAATCTTTTTTAGTGGGAACTTCCTGGCATGTCGGCAGCCCGATGCGAGCTCATTTCTACTGTTGAGGGTCGACATTTCTGGACTGCACAAAATGGAAAACTTCTCCCACAAACATAAATTACATTTCCTGTTTAGATTCGAATAGGAACTAGCTCGTTTGATCTTGCGCCATTTGATTTCATAGCAATTTTCCTATATTTTAGGCTCCTTATGAACTTACTTAGTTCCGTTGCGTGCCTATATCTAATTTAAAACAAGATTTAGAAACCATACAGCTTCAGTTAGACATGAGAACAAAAGGAACGCAACAGAGTTGAGCAAACAACAACAAACATATGAAACATATGTGTGCACTGCGGTTATGAGACGTATATAAGAACGATCCTTCGCAGTAAAGCACTATTTGAGCAATAGTGGAAATCAGACCTGAAAAAAATTTCAGGCCTGTACGGGATTCGAACCACTGACCTCTGCGATACTAGTGCAGCGCTCTACCAATTGAGCTAACAAGCCAACTGGGAGCAGGCCATCAAATTAATTCGATATAAACCCGTAGATGATAAATCGAACAACAACAAACATATGAAACATATGAGTGAACTGCGGTTATGAGACGTATATAAGAACGATCCTTCGCAGTAAAGCACTATTTGAGCAATAGTGGAAATCAGACCTGAAAAAAATTTCAGGCCTGTACGGGATTCGAACCACTGACCTCTGCGATACTAGTGCAGCGCTCTACCAATTGAGCTAACAAGCCAACTGGGAGCAGGCCATCAAATTAATTCGATATAAACCCGTAGATGATAAATCGAACAACAACAAACATATGAAACATATGAGTGAACTGCGGTTATGAGACGTATATAAGAACGATCCTTCGCAGTAAAGCACTATTTGAGCAATAGTGGAAATCAGACCTGAAAAAAATTTCAGGCCTGTACGGGATTCGAACCACTGACCTCTGCGATACTAGTGCAGCGCTCTACCAATTGAGCTAACAAGCCAACTGGGAGCAGGCCATCAAATTAATTCGATATAAACCCGTAGATGATAAATCAAACAACAACAAACATATGAAACATATGTGTGAACTGCGGTTATGAGACGTATATGAGAACGATCCTTCGCAGTAAAGCACTATTTGAGCAATAGTGAAAATCAGACCTGAAAAAAATTTCAGGCCTGTACGGGATTCGAACCACTGACCTCTGCGATACTAGTGCAGCGCTCTACCAATTGAGCTAACAAGCCAACTGGGAGCAGGCCATCAAATTAATTCGATATAAACCCGTAGATGATAAATCAAACAACAACAAACATATGAAACATATGTGTGAACTGCGGTTATGAGACGTATATGAGAACGATCCTTCGCAGTAAAGCACTATTTGAGCAATAGTGGAAATCAGACCTGAAAAAAATTTCAGGCCTGTACGGGATTCGAACCACTGACCTCTGCGATACTAGTGCAGCGCTCTACCAATTGAGCTAACAAGCCAACTGGGAGCAGGCCATCAAATTAATTCGATATAAACCCGTAGATGATAAATCAAACAACAACAAACATATGAAACATATGTGTGAACTGCGGTTATGAGACGTATATGAGAACGATCCTTCGCAGTAAAGCACTATTTGAGCAATAGTGAAAATCAGACCTGAAAAAAATTTCAGGCCTGTACGGGATTCGAACCACTGACCTCTGCGATACTAGTGCAGCGCTCTACCAATTGAGCTNTTGGACTGCGAATCTTTATTGATCCTCCTGGCGCGGTGCACCTTTGTTGGCCTGAGAGTTCCATTAACGACTCCCTATGTATATACATATATATATATATATATATATATCGCCCTATAATAATGAAGGCTATAAAGAACAGTACATTTCTGATTTTTACAAAATAGTCACTTCAGTGAAAATACTTACTCTGAGTAGACGACCTTTTCTGTGCGGAGTTGTGTTCACTCTTCTCTTGCTCGGTTATTGGTATAAAACTCGCCATCCACTTCTCCCCAGAGGAAACTTTTCTTGAATAACCCCAGGGGTTTAGATTTGGATCAGCGTCTGTCACAACGATGCAGATGTCATCTCTCTTCTCCTCAAGCATGAAACCCTCCTCCTGAACTGAGCTGCATTTACTTGTACTTCCCGAAAGAATTGGCGTGGCACAGGGGGAGATATTCAGGGGGGTTGAAGGAACTGACGTTCCGATCCTTTGTGGAATTCTTAAGTTGTTCATGGGTGAGGATGAAGTTGATTCATGACTCCAACTGCGTTGGCGGTTTACGTAGTCATTTCTATGCGCCTGCTGAACAGCACAATGGCATGCATTGTTGCACAGACAACTATACCAGGAGAGAGAATAGAGATGAAAATGAAAAAGAAAGAATTTAAGGTAGGAGACCTAAAAGGTTTTGTGTCAAGCCTATAGCTAAGATCCAAACTTGCATAGGTTTTTGTGTGGCCTCTCTTCGGTCCGGAGAACATCTTGCATGGTAGCGGGCCGCAAGAACGTTCTAACATAAAAAGGTGGCCAATAAAATGATATGCTAGCTAAGTGGTGATATTTTACGAAAAGGTTGACGGAAGACCCAGTGAATTTATGGTTAATGTGTCAAATCGGATGGTCCAGGCTAATCGATGCTTCATGTTGCCTCTTTGAAAAGAACACATCTGTAGTAGAGGGCTCAGAGAACTTGTCAGAAAAGCATTTGTCCCACGGCGTGGCAAAGGTAAGGGAAATTATGAATCCCCCGTTGTTAAGAAAGGCAGATGACAGAGGTAACTGTAATGATTCAAACATTATTAAGACCCCAGATTGTGATCACTCTACTGAAAAGGTAAAGGTGTAGTCTGTACTCGAGCCAAGTGGCTCACCCAGCCCGAACCTTACCCGGTTACCATGGCATGGAGTTTCACGACTACCCCTGGATGGGAGTCTAGACCATCGTTAGGTTACCCCCTCTCTCCCCTCTCCCAGAATTTCATCAGACTTCCCTGCCAATTGGCCAGTATCCATTTACTTCGGGGGTGGAGAGAGGCATTATGACAGTCAAGGTGGTCTCGGTTTCGTACCTAGACTTCTCTACCCGGAGTCCAGCGCTCTAACTATGAGTCCACTGTGTCTCCCACAACTCTACTGGAAAATCTTGCCTAGCTACGAGAGGCTGGAGGTGAGCAACGATAAACTAGCACCTCATACGTAATTTTATCGAAGTTATCATTCCTACCTGACTGAAGACAACAGGCTGTGATTGCTGTCCGTCTCGTGAGGTTTTAAATCGTTGCTTGAAACTAAAATGTAATCGCACCACTAAGAAATTGTCGATCAAACGGTGTGTTTACGTGCATAACTAAAAGTCAACTGAAAAATACCTCCCTCGATCACCAATCGTAAGTTCTGACTCAGAAGCTTAAGAGACCATTATGAAAAAAGCACTAAGGAAGAAGCCGCTAATTTCTTTTTTCTTTTCTGTAGAACATGTTCTTTTAGCCTTTTACTCTTTTAAGCAATTGACACGTGAGGTTTTGGGCAAAACTGAGCAGCAGTCTCAGTAAGCAAAATTCCCGCTTGTTAAACGCTTTACCAATCTGGCCACAGAAAAGCGGACAAGAGGGCAATGAAAGGTAGTTCTTTACTTACTGAATGTTCCCTCGGTGTTTTCAGGCTGATTTTCATCGTCACTATTTTGGACCTGAAGGCAGCTCGCAGAGAAAGCTTGCTGTCGACAAACACAAAAACATTGAAACAACATTACGACAATGTGAATCCTCAGGTTTTGTTATCGCATAACAATTGCATATGATGTAGAATAAAGCGTTCGAGTCAGTTGAGGCGGTATACGATTTGGTGTGAGGAAAACATTTCTTTAAAGAAATGTTTACATTCGATTCTAACCTCTCCACAACGGCCACTATTAGAACATAGGGAAAGGCCTGTTTTACAGAGAGGGTCACTATGAAGAGGTAAGGGTGTAATTTTACATGAAAATGTTTAATGCAGCACATGAATATGTGACATGATCAAGATAGTCTGTGAAGGAGAAACCAAAAAAACGTTTATCATAATTGAATTGTCAACAAAACAATCAGCGCTAATTGGTCTCAGTTCTGAAGAGGATTTGTTTCCTCTATCGCTATATGTTAGCTACCAGTGCTCGTTTATTTGAGAGAATTATCACCTATTTTGCCAAATTCTTCATCAGTCAGTCATTAGCTGGTAGTTATTTTGGCAGTTGCAATGGGTACGCGCTAAAATGGCTATTGTCGCCGTCGTCATCGTAGTTAAATTAAAGAAGAGTAAATGCATGAATCGTCCCATAACACTAAAAACGGGTGCCATTGCCGGCATTAACTGTAGACCATAAGATATCGAAAACAAGCTCATGTCAGGACATGCCATTAAGAGAATGGTTACACTTAAACGCTAAAGCAATTTCCCCAAGCACAATGTTAACCACATCCCATTTGTTGGGACTGTATTTAGTGTAATCTGAGTAGTTAACCTTACTCCGGCTTTCTGCCTTACGCATGCGTACTTCTTTTACCTTGATTTTTTTCACTGGACTTGGACTTTTTGATCCTTTATGACTTGGCAGTGCTTTTCTTTTGAACAGTGGACTCACAAAGTCGCTGGCCAAAACAAAGTGCGGATTCTTTTTCTGACAAAGAAGATCGAATAAGATAATCAATTACTGTACGATGCAACCGGACAAATTTGTAGACTACTTTTTATACCGTCTGACTATTTCGAAAGACTTTTTAGTGAAATCCAATACAACAGTGTTTTTTGATAAAGTTTATCATGTTTTAAACAGAACTGTTATAGCATTGTTAGGAATTTCTCGACGATATGACTGACGTAATTCATTTTCCTTTTCCAGTAAAGTCAGCAGAGCGGACAGAAGGTAGGTCATGATGATCAGTTATCTTGTTAAAGGCTGATAGTTTCGAAAGAAACTGTTGGGGGCTGCGTCGGTGGGGGTAACGAAATAATTTGGATGTATCAACAAAGTTGAAATGGTAAATTGACCATCGTAACGATTACAAAAGCTGACGTTTCGAGCGTTAGCCCTTCGTCGGAGCGAAGGGCTAACGCTCGAAACGTCAGCTTTTGTAATCGTTACAGTGGCCAAGTTATCTTGTTAGATAATGAGACTTTGTAGAGCCAAAAGAGCTTTACATGACAAGTAACTAATGGCTCACTTTTCCTTCTTTTTTCTTTAGGCTAAAAAGACCCAGAGTCACCTGCTCAGCTTACATTCGTTCAAATTCTGCGAATGCAACATGCTATGTTCACCTCCTAATCTCTGTTCCGCCCGCATGGAAGTGTGACAAATGAGTTAGAATATGTTTGATTTGGGTGTAGCTGTTCAACCAAAGAAGCTACATTGGCCAATTAAAGCAAAGGCATATCTTAAAAAGGATCCAATAAAAACGTAAAAACAGGCAAGCTACCTCAAGCGCGCAAAACACAAGTGACCTGGGGCCCGTTTCTCGAACTTCCCGGTAACTTAACGGACCCGTAGAGCGCTTCTGTTTTCATTCAGGATGGGAATTTCAAAAGTTTTGAAAATAACAAAATGAAACCATCAACTAAAGAAACAAAATGGAGTGGTTTGGGGGCCAGAACCTGCTTTTCTATCCTTTGAATTTTTATTTTAAAACATGGCCTCGGGCCCGCTAAGTTACCGAGACTTTCGAGAAACGGGCCGCAGGTCAGGATTGGTTTTTGGTTTTGTTTATCAGTGATCCGAGGAGAGATTGGTTCGAGTATTTGGATCATTACACGATATTCAGAGTGTTTTTAAAATTTTCACAATTATTGTTACAATCATTAGCTAAACTCTTAGTTCTGTTTTTTTTTTTTTTAACCACTTTGTTATAGTGTCCCCGATTAAGAAGACTTAGACACTTAAATAAAGTTGTTGATTGATTTATTGATTGATTGATTTAGACCAATCAGAAATCGCAAGAACCAAAAACCAAAGTAATCATGACAGCACTCAGTTAAAAGGCACACAATCTCCCACCTTATCCCGAATAAGTCTCAGGTAGTTCCTGAGGTCTCCGTGCGGACAGTACTCAGTGATAAGGCACAGCGGACCGCCACTTGTCACACATCCCAGCATGCTGACAATATTCAGATGTTTGCCGATACTTTTCATCAATGATATCTCTGTCAGAAAGTTTCGTTTGTCTTCCAGGTTTGCATTTGCTAATAATCAGACAAGTTGTAATTAATTTAAATGAAATCCTAACTTAGAAACTTTACAGATGAAAAAGTGACTCCTTGTAAATAACTGTTTTCATTTTACTTGAAGAACCAATGCCTTGAAACCGTCAAGTTACTTTTCAAAAGATGTTTTAGCGACCAACGGTCAATGATGTTGTCATGTTACTGACAATAACATGATTATAATGTCACGTTACCAATTTACGTCATTATGAAAGTGAATCATCCTAAATGACATCATCACTATGTCACATCAATTCAGACTATGTCACTATGAGATTACATTACCCTTTAATGTAAATTTTCTATAGTAAAGAGTTAAATGACGACATTAGTATGTCACGGCAACTTTAGCATCAAAGTCCTTTTTTCGAACACAAATTGTGTACGCTTTGTACTTGAAGACATGTTTAATCCCTTTGGATTTTCTTATGCGACAGGGGTCAGTATTAATGCTATTGGAAAGTTTGTCGTGGAGATTTCAAAATAGGCAAAGGGGGTACTTTCTGCAGAACTGTGGTGCTATGTCGGTGGAGGAGTGTAACAACTTGGTTGAACTGAGTTGATAGTGTTAATTTTCTACCGTAAAGAGTTACGAAGCTGATATTTCGAGCGCTCTGATCGAAACTCTTTACGGAGGCCTATTAACATTATCAACTCAGTTAATAAAAACCAAATCGTCTTATTTCAAAATAGGATTGAGTTGCTCTCGAGTGCGGCTCCAGCAACTCTTGGGCTTCCCTCGTGCTCCCCAAACTTCATACGTGCATCTATACATCGATACATGCACACTAAGATTTAGCCGATTGTCAACTGTCGGCTAATTACCTTTTAATTTCTTAACGGCGGCAACAACTTCTTTAAGCGCGGGAAAACCCATCAAGCCGATAACAGTTGCCTTGGAAACTGTTCCAAAAGCTCCTTCGCCAATCTGTTGTCCAAAGGCAACACTGCTGTACTCTACTTCCCACTCATCAGGCTCAATGATTGGGAGATCGGCCGAAAAAGTATCCCCATTAAATGACAACCTGAAAACATTTTACCAATAAATACCCTACAATAAAATTTCCGATTTGTGTATTTCCCAGCCAGCTATGGAACAACTATTACGTATAGTTTTTAAAATGCTTTCATTATTGTTTGACGAAGGTTTTTTTGCTCTCAACTGAGGCTCTGGGTGTTTACAAAGCAACCAAAGCATGTGTTAACATAATTTTACTGTTATGGAATCTTGGTTCTCAGTTCCAACCTCTCAAGCACAAGCTACTTCGGATTTGTCAATAGCATTCCTTTTCTGCGTACCATACTTAGCCAACGTAAATGGTTTGGTGTTCTTATCTGCTCGAAAATAAAGCTTGGACTCCCCGTTACTTAAAGCTTCACTTACATAGCTCTGCCGTTGATTTACTGAACTTGCATCTGCTGCACAGCTGAAGATATGCTTCCGTACCTTCTCTTAATGTATAGATAGGTGGCGCCAAAGAAGCAGGCAAGCACAGTTATCAGCACGAGTGCTGTCACTAAATACGGGAAGGGCGTGTTGCCCTTACGGGTAGGTGCAGCCGTGTCGGCGTATTTGAAACTGCTAACAGGAGGATCTGTCGATCGGTCTGCATTCAAAGTGGCCATTGAGATGTGTTCTAGGATAAAATACTTTTGCGTCGATCAAACAGCCCTTCTCTCTCCACTCAGGAGTGTAAATGATTTGACAAGGAATTTATAATTAAAAAGAAAACCCGTGGGGGGGAGGGTGGAATGGTTGGTGGCAAATAGGGGAAGAGGGTAGACAGCGATGGATTATTACTCGACCTTGGAGGAGCAGCAATGCTCTGAACCCCTCCGTGATACTGATTCCAGGATAAGCTCCGAAACTTACGATACTAAGTAAGTTCACGTACGTACCAGAGGTGATACGATTCACGGACGTACCGGAGGTGTTGAAAAAGAGTTTGGCTTTCTCTCCTTCACCTGTCATCGATGATACTGCTGCTACCTGATGTAACCAAAATAAAATGTCGAATGTAATGAGCACGTGCGATTATAAGCGTTAAACGACGTAAACAAAGAGGTAAGGAGCAATCGGGTTTTCTCAGAGATCTTCATAAACAAACTGTATCAGCCGGCCTGAAAGGGACCGAAAGGTTAAAGCCGAGATCGTTGTTTAACAATCAAGTATAAACTGTCATAAATCTACCGTGAAGATGTAGGGGAAACCATTGTGAAGACCAACTAGTTGAAAACTGGTGTTTTCCTGCAAGAAATTTACAACATACATACGTAATTAGATTTCGGGGATCTTTAATTTCTCAAATGCTTTTTGCGCTCCTCTTGCGCTCACCTTGGACCAAAACCTAGTCAAGACTCACTGAAACGCAAAGTGAGGAAATTTCTAGCCATGTTGACGACACAGTTTTGGTCGATAAAGAGTTTTCTATTTTGTCGAATTATTACACCGAAAAATTTCTCTTTTTGCAGTGACGAAGCGTGCAATCCCTGGAGAGCATGATGGTCTATTTACGGGCTAATTTAACCAATCAGGGTTTCGCCATTTCGTTGTTTTTATAAGTGCAAAACCTGACGTCAAATTGACACCGCGATCATATGATATTGTCGAAACCTACGCTACCTCAACAGAAGGGTTTCGATGTGGCTCTGTATATATAACGTGCTTGAAAGTCGTATGACCGAGAAATCCGTGTAATGCGAGACGACTGGAGATCAAACAACGTGAGGAGAGATTACGACATAGTAGGTATGCTTGAACCTATGGCTTTTAAGAGCGCATTTAGAAACTCTCTCTCCGGTACGATTAAGTTCCTTGTAAAACAGTCACAAGGAATTGCACCAGGTTAAAATGCTGAAAAGTTTGTCTGTTCCAGAATTCATCATTGCTGTCGAACCTATATCAAGCAGCACCGTATTAAGCGGTTAGTTATCAAAGTCCCGAATTTTTCCCCCTTAATTACTGTCATCTTTTTCCTCTAATAAAATAGAGGGCAAAATTACTGAATGCTGATTGGTCAATGAAGAGGTCATTTTTTTTCTTAATTTTGCTTGAGAAGAGGGAAAAATTGCTAGCTCATGATTGGTACTCAGGTTGCCTAGCAACAGCTCATGCTATAAAAAAGTTGTTGCTGAAGATTTTCTGTAACAATGGCGTCTCGTTTCGAGATAGTTGACGAGGAATAAATCGAGGAATTAAATTAAAAGACAAGAGTGAAAACGAAAACACGAGGAAAAGCACGGAGTACCGGAAGGACGTTTTTAAAAAGTGGGCGAATGAAAGAGACTTCCAAGCAAATTTAGACGAGTACGAGAGCGATATCCTCGACCAAACACTGGCGCAGTTTTATGCCGAGTTATAATTACGAAGACAAAACGGCGATGAATATGAGCCCGACTGCCTAAAAGTAATGCAAGCATCACTGGAGAGATATCTAAAATCAAAAGCCTGTCCAAAGTCCTGATAATTTGAATATATCAACAAAGTTGAAATGGTAAATTGGCCACCGTTACGATTATAAAAGCTGACGTTTCGAGCGTTACCTCTTCGTTGGAGCGAATAGAGGAATTGCGGGTTGTGTGTCCTTTTGAAGGCAGAAAATGGAGCTACGTTATTGGTGGGAACATGGCAACGAGAAAAACACGGATAAAGTAGTGGAATGAAAAGCGTTCGTTTATAGCTATGGGATTTAGACTGCCGGTTTGAAGATGAGCTTTTATTCAAGAGTTTTACGGCTTTCCGTGCTACCTAAGTGAAAGGAAAGACCGTAGATTGCCATATGTTGCTTAGAATGATTAGGTAAATTAAAATGTCTGGCGACTGGTTTCACTAGACACAAAATAACAAATAAAAGTTCGATCGAATTTACTTCGAGTCAATCGATTATAGAACGGAAAGATTAACCTACCACTGCTTAATTACATGAGCTTCATTGACTGCAATGCCACATAGCTTTGATTGATATGTAGAACTTGTCAACATTCTCCTCCACCTTTCAGTTTTGAGCCAGGACTCCGAATACAACTTCGTATTTTCTCTGTTCCACTGGCGAAATTTCGCCCTCTATTATACTACACAAGAATACCGATGAAATTACCAAAGATCTTAATTTCATGACCTCGTCTTCCATGAGGTTAATTAGAGGCGACACAACTGCAATGATATATACGGCCACGTTGTTCACGTATGATATCAAAAACTGTCGGAAGAGCCAAATATATGATCGATTTATCGGCTCCGGTCGGCAGATTTACGAACACATCTTTGCCTTTAAAAGCGAAGTAATCAGTAGCTTCTTTTTGGAAATTATTTAACTCTCTGCGGCCGAACTTCTTACAAACTTAGGCAAACACCGATGTCCTGTGCGCCATTAATATTTTGAAAAATATTGCCCGAAATACTAGCCAAGGTCAAGGTCGAGGTCAATAATCAGGATTTCGGGAGGCTCGCTCTGATTGGCCGAAGGCAAATCTCGCTTCAATGGAGCGGACGTTCGTCAGGGGAGAATTTTTAATTCGACACCCA